ATCAAGAGAGCTAGGTTTTATCTTAGCGAAAATAAAACCTGAATCTCATGCAAACAAAACCCCTTCTCACGTAACATCCAGCCACACGTAGGAAATATTTCATACATATAAATGTACTTTAAGCTCATGGTGAAATGTTCCCAGCATGTGGCTGGATTTTCAAAGTAAGTGTAGGGTTTTTGCTTGCAAGGAATATCGTCACACCAAATTATAATTCCATCTGTTGTTCTATACAAAATTATATGCAAAATAGGTATATGTTTGGCAAAATAAGTATATGTTTATTTTATTTTTTGGAATCATTGCTGCCAGGTAAGATGTTCTTGGAGCAATAATAATTTTTTCTGTTTGATACCACTGCTCTAGGAAACGTTTTCAGCACTGGTACCCATTATCCAATGCCACATCACTATCCTGTTGGCAGTAACGAGTTGCTTCTCCAAGAAACACCAAATTTGACGTTGCTCCAAACCATGACTTATCGATTTTCGATACATGGCTTAGAGCACTATTTTTTATGGAAAAACAGTTCCAAACAAATGCCCGTTTCCTGGAGCATCATTTTTCTGATGTGACGCTGATATGGCACCATTACTCTACGAAATGGCAATAATGCCAAACAGCCCCTAAAGTGCTAGTAACTCGTCCTTGATAGCACCATGTGCAATATTGCATATCCCACTCGCAACAATAATCGTTCAATGGTTTAACTTCTTATCACGTACTCGTATAAACCTATATTATTTGCCTTAATTCCTTCATCCATCTCAATGTCTCATGAATATTGGCTTTAGACAATGATTAAATTTATTCATAAAGTATGTTTGGTTTTAACATGTGCAAGCTCTAGGCGAGGACAATGCTATGTGCATTCACATAGATGCTTGTTGAAGATTTAAATGGTCAATGCAATACGTTTGATAGATGAAATAACATATAATTTTTATATGACAAAAGTGTGATGCATTTCCAATTAATTGATTATTGGTTGTATTTGTCAGTGTTACATTAACTTCATAACTAGGGGTGGTAATTTTTAACCCAACCGATGAATCCACCTAATATTTAACCCGTCCATTTACTTGGCGGGTTGTATGATCAATGCATCATTTAACTCGCTCATTTAAATGGATTGGGTTGTGAATAACCATTGGGTCAATTATTATAGACATAAGTATTAATTTATTAACTTTTATTTTAATTTTCTTCATTTGAATTAAATAATTTATTATTAATGTATTAAATTTCTATTAATTATTGACTAAATTTAGTTTTATCTTGAATTAATACATTCACGTAACATAAATCCAAATCAATTTGACAGGACCAGTTCAACGCGGTCTAACCCGATCTAGCATATATTGATATGTATTCACCCGAATCTGAAATAGACCCTCGGGCAGGATGGTTTGGTGCCGCTTGCTCTGTCCAATTTGGGTCGTCCAATATAGCCAATATCCACACAGTCCGATTTGACCCAAATCCGAAACGTTTTCGAGTGGGATGATTCGGCCCCCGCGTGCATTGCACAATCTGAACCGTCCGTCCAACTAATATCCACACACACCGACCCAATTTACTTACATTGGTCCGGTTCGGGTCAGCCAGACCGGTCCCAAACCTGTGCACAAACCTGATATGATCCGGTCCAAGTCAATCCACCATTTACTCGATTGACTAGTACGACCGGGCTGGTTTAGATCTAAACGGTCAACCACCCTTGAACCTACATGGTTTAAGTTGGTCTAACCGGTTTGAACCTATGTGGTTTGGTCAAACCCGAAATCCGAACATAATCAAATGGCTTCGCCACTTGTGTAAAAATTGCATGCATATAATGTGATTTAAACCTTCACCACTTGTGTAAATAGTAACTACACTTACCACCAAGCTATGACCAACTTACTTGTTAAGAGAGAGTTAGTTTGTTTTTAAGTCCATAAATATAAGATTAATGGGTTTGAACAGGTTGGATTGGGTTAACGCAGGTTTGAGTTAAACCCAATAGGTGTTGATTCATACCTAAAAATCACATATTTAAACTCATATGCTATCAGTAGGGACGTAATTGGATCGGGGTCAACAATATGTGAATATGATCCAATTATTGAAACCTTGTATCTAAATACAGTCAGATTTTGATACTCCAAAACCGAATTATAATCCTAACAAGTTCAATTTTGATTTAAATTTAATTTGACCCTGCTATATTTTTTTTATACACAAATAATAAAAGTTAATTACTTTTCAACTTTGTATATATAATACATTGATGTAAATATAGCATATTAAGTTATATGTATAAATATAAAGAAAAATATATATATATATTTTTTTGTATTTTCAATTATAATTATATAAAATCTATACATCAAAATCAATAAATATTATATTATAGTTAGATCCGGGCTTTAATTTGATCATATTGAGTCAAATCCAATTTAGATCAAATTATCAAATGCATATTGCATAACCCAAATCCGATTTGATTACATAAACACATATTTTAAATCAGAGATAATCAAATCAGACATCAAATTAGGCTTCAAGTATCATCGATAAACCTAACTATAAACCTATTAAGATATCATATTTAAAGTCCATCAAATACCAAAATTAAAACTCCATACATCACATTTAGAGCTTATGTTGACTAAACTCTTGTATTCAAAACATTGGTATAAGGCATTTGCTATGGCCCTTGCCAAAACCAATAAAAGTATTCACTTTATAAAGTATAAATATAAAACTTCCTAACTCATGTGTAACTCACGTTCCGATATTACATATAAATATAAAATTTTCACTTACACCCACTTAACAAATTCTAACTTCATGAAAAACAGTTACAGGAGGAATTGATGCCAATACCAAATGGGTTTAGTGGAGTTAACTTTTCTAATGTAGGTTTTAGTGGGGTTTTGCTTATAAAATAACACGTAGTTGTAATAGTTTCAACTGGACTGCTAAGTCCTCATGCAGCTCTATCCTATGGATGATGAATCATTATTGGCATTGTGGCTTCTAATTAGTATCAATAATGACCATGTTTCATTGTAGTATCTTTGAGCTCGATCATTGAATTCCTCTTTACGTTCTCTTAGAATGAAAAAATAAAAAGCAATGTTCAAAATTTCATGGCTAGTGTGTTGATTTTTATAGATTCCAATATTTTTTCTTTTCTAATTGCCAAATGCATAAAAATAACTCAGCTTTGAACTTCCGAATAAGATAAAAAAAAAAACTAAAAAAAACAAAAATTGGGCAGTTCACAATAATGACACACCCCTTCCGGTGTATCAATATTTTGAACCTTACTTAAAAAATACTATATTATAAAAATATTTTAAATTCACTATTTGTTCTAACTTTTAATTTGTTTTAATTTGATGTACCAAATGTTTTATAGGATGATAGATTAATAAATATGGATAATTCAGTAACAAAATAAACAAAAAATATTAATTATATTCTCATATTAACATTGTTTTTTATTGAATGTTAAATATTAAATATTAAATATCAAATTAAATTTGGTGCTGGTTATAAAAATCAAGTTAAACTACATAATGTAATCTATATCCTCACTCTTTGTTTGCATGCATGAATAATATGTACCCTTACACTAGTACAATGTAAAAGTTAATATTTGCGCTGGGTGCTGCACAAGTAAAAATAAGTGAAATCCAAATTTCGTATAATCACATGTTTGATTAATACTTACCTACACGCTCTACTGCACTAGTATCATATTAAAACTGTTTTAATTGTTAATGGTTTAACAATGAATGTGTCATAATTTCATCAAATACAATGGAATAGTTAAAAAATATTTATATTATTAGCCCCATAATTAGGACTTATATATGATTAGTACAAAGGCAATGCTATTACTTTGCAAATAAATGGTAAGAATATAAGTAAGCATCCACAATCAAAATTAATTTTGATGACATGTGTGCTCATAGTTTTACAATAGACGTGACATTAAATAACATGGAATAACAAAACAAGTCTCGTGTAGTTGAACCCATGGTTGGGATAAGACTTACAAGTGATGATGGTGAACATATGACAATTACATTGTCAAATCTAATGCCTTCCTACCATGTTATGATCACAACAATGCCTCCTAAATAGCACTTCATGGGTTGGATCAGTTTGATTTTATATGTTTTTTGTCAGTCAAATCAATTATCTCGGGTTGACTTATAAGTCAACTGAAATTGACAAGAGTTAATAAAAAACCGAGTAAAATTTATACATGCCTAAAGTTGGTTTAATTAGTTTGAAATCGAATTGACATTATCCTTTTTATAAATCCAAGTTTTTTTTTTTTTTTTTCATTTTCTGCATGTATCAAAGCATCATTGTCTGCATTTTGTCAATTGTTTACTTGTATATTATTATTATTATTATTATTATCTTTTTATGGCATCAACAATAAATATATTGTCAGCCATTATTATAATCTCACTTATTTTATCAACAGTATAAAGGAATGACAGGTTGGTATAAGCCTCTGTCAGTTTTTTTTTTTTACCTTTTTTTAAGGTTTCTTTATAACACCTACCACAAGTATATATCCATATGATAATTGGGTCGGTTCGGTTTTCATTGGTCCATATACGATTAAACTAAACCCGACCTGACCTCTTGGGTTTTCATAATTGAGGAATTGAAATCAACTAACACTACTTGAAAACCTACCTGTTCAGTTCAGGTTGAGTTGTATTGGATTGGTCTGTTTCATGAACAACCCCACTCCTAAGTCCTAATGCACAGGACAATAGTGCAATTTGGGTTTATACGAACCGAATTTCAGTTAACCATCGATTTTCTATTTTAGTTAACCTAAATCGAACCGAATTTCGGTCGGTTTTTTCGATTCGGCTCGATTTTTCTTGCTCATCCGTAGAGTGTGGGCTGGAAATCCGGACAAATGCCTCTCACGCTAGACATAACGTCCGTCGTTATTCGCCGTTAGGTTAAATCAACGGACGCCGTCATATATCGAGGAATCAAAACCATGGACTGGCTGCAGGCCCGCAATTGCTCTCTATATACGCACCGCCTCGATCGATTCCTGTTCTCGTTCGCTCCACCTCCAAGCTCTTGTAAGCTCACTTGAATCCATGGCTTCCTGCATAAGTTAAATTACTGATATCCAGAGTTCGTTGTTCTTCGTTCTAGAACCTGTTTTCAACCTCGATAACTGTTTCGATCTGTGAAAACCCTAGATTGGTTAGTGTTCCATGGCGTCGGTCTAGGGTTTAAGCGTTTTTGATTAAATCGTGTTTAGCTGTGGCAGCAGAGTTTCAGGTATGTTTTATTTCGACGAGCTCAATATCCAGTCATCCTCCATTAATGCAATATACTGCTATTAGCAATGATGTATTCGGTTATATTATATTATACATATAAAAGAATGTATTTTGTTCGACTTCATTGCTCTCTATGCAATGATTTGTGTTGAGCATTTTCTTCGAATGTCTCGTCACCGAAAGGGATATTCTTCAAAATTTGATGCTTTTCCGTTTCTGTTTCCCCCATTACGGCGTTCGCGTCTGTTACTTCCAGGATGGACTACCTCCAACTGTCCATTCGTCAGTTAGGTTTCAGGTCCAGGTTATCTATTCCTTAACTTGAATCTAAAACCGCAGCTACATTAATCTAATCGACTTGGAATTGATTTGACTAGTGTGTTAGAGTTGGTGTTTTCTTCTCATCGTGCTACATGAGTTTAAAACTTGTCGCATCCTTTCCAGCTGCTGCTTGACTCCTGTAGTCATTTTGTGCGGATTGTTACAATAAAATTAGAATCTGGTTGTGGTACGGTTAACTTTTTGTGTGTTTCTGGAGGTCGCCTTGAATGATATGATTAAATTTAGGATTTTCATGCCATTTGAATGCACAAGTTGATAATGTAAGATTAATTCTTTTTCTTCTTCTTCTTCTTTTTAAATTCACGAAAGTCCGGTGATGATTTCGATCAATTTATTGGTTAAATGGAAGACCGAGACAAAATAATATTTACATGGGTTGTACATGTCCCTTTAGCTTATTTCTATGCAGAAAGCAATATTTCCTGGTAAAACAAAAGGGATCACTTGCTTAAGTGGAGCCCCTGTACCTAATTAGTTGAAATAGTCTTGTTCTCAAGCCCATATTAAGGACCCAACAAAGAATAGAAAATAAAAGGAGAATATATTATTTGTTTCAGAAAAATTATTAAATGTGTTGGTTTTTATGCAAATGGTATATAGTTTTTGAATCATTTTGTTGAACAGGGCACTTCAAGTCAACATGGGATTTGATAATGAGTGTATACTGAACATTCAATCACTTGCTGGTGAATACTTCTGTCCTGTTTGTCGTCTTCTTGTCTACCCCAATGAAGCCATACAATCTCAATGCACTCATCTATATTGTAAACCCTGCTTAACCTACGTAGTAAGCACGACACATGCCTGCCCCTATGATGGTTACTTGGTGACGGAAGCAGATTCAAAGGTTTTCCCCCTATCCCCACTTTTTTTACCTCCATTTGAGGTTTCTACAAACTGTACAATAAATCAGTGTTATAACCTTTGTTTGCAGCCTCTGATTGAATCAAACAAGGCACTTGCAGAAACTATAGGCAAAATAGCTGTTCACTGTCTTTATCACAGGAGTGGGTGTACATGGCAGGGCACATTTTCAGACTGCACCTCTCACTGTGCTGGATGTCCCTATGGTAATTCGCCTGTTGTATGCAACAGGTGTGGGGCCCAAATTGTGCACCGCCAAGTGCAGGAACATGCACAGAATTGCCCGGTGAGCACAAAAAAAGTCACACTTGCTTTTTTTGGTCAATCTTGTTTGGTTGGTTCTTGTTTCTGATATAATTTCTATGTTTCTGATAATTACAGGGTGTGCAGCCACAGGCACAGCAGGCAGAGGGTGTTCAGGATGCAACAACTGCCCCAAGTACATCATCCGGTGCTGATCAGGTCCAAGCTGTTGCTCAAGCAGGGGCTCCTGCTTCTCAAGGCCAGCCTTCCCAGCCTACTGTATCTTTGCCTTCTGGACAAGAACAAAATCAAGCAAGTACAAATGTTCAGACACAAGCTGTAAATCAGGTTGCTCCAACACCAGAACAGTGGTATCAGCAGCAATCACAGTACCAACAATATTACCAGCAGTATCCTGGGTATGACCCTTATCAACAACAGTATCAGCATTATGATCCATATCAACAAGCTTATCAACAATATCAACAACATCCTCAACATGTACAAGGGCAGCATCAACCTCAGGTCTACATGCAGCCCCAGCCCCAACCACTCTCTCAGTCTCAACCCCAGCTACAGCCTCAGCCTCAACCCCAGGTCCAACCTCCAGCCCCCCTTGCACATCCACAAGCCCCTGTGGCTGTGCAAACCCAAATGCAATCACAGATTAATTTGCAGCAGCAACTTCAACCTACTGCACATTCACAACCTCAAATCCATCCACAAACTCAGCCACCAACCCAGGGGCAACAACCTCAACTATATCCCCAAACTCAGGTTCAAACACAGACTTATCCAACTCAACCTCATATGCAACAAAATCCACAGGTGCAACATCAGCAAACCTTTCCCCAGATTCAACAGCCTCAGCTCCAGCCACAACCCTATGCTCAACCCCAGTCTCTTTCTCATCCCCAGCATCACTCCCATCCCCAAGTTCCTCCTGCACACCCACAGCCACAGCAACAACCACAGCCTCAGCAACTTCCCCAGGTGCAGACACAACCTCAGACCAAGCCTCATACTCAACACCAGCTCCCAACACAGCCTCAACCACCACAACCATCAGTCCATGCAGTGACTGGTCACCAGTCCTATGTGCAACCTCAGCCTCATCAGCAAATGCCTCCAGTTGGTCCACAACAACATCCTGCTTACATGCACACTCAGCAGCAACCCGGTATACCACACCAGCCACCTCAGCATCCTGTTCAAATGCAAAATCAATTTCCTCCTCAACAACCACATCAGATGCGACCACCCCAAGCTCATATGCCAGTGTATCAGCATCAGCAACAGCCAGCCATGCCACTTCCACAAGGTCAACATTCAAATGCTGCTGCTCCTGCACAACTATCTATGCATCCTCATGCTCCTCAATCAGGTCAACCAGTCCTTCAGCACCCAGGTGTGCCACCACCTCAACAGCAACAACAGAGTGTGCCACAACCACAGTTGCAAGGACATTTGCAGCATTCTCAGCCTTTTCCAGGACAAACACATGGTTTGGTTCATAATCAGCCTCATCAGCAAGGTGTTTTCATGCAGCAGCAGTCCATGCAGCCTCACTTGCGCCCTCAGGGTCCACCATCCACACAGCAGCATGTTCATGCCCCTCTACAACCCCATCTATCTCAAAGTAACGCAGCAAGGCCCATGATGCCAAGTCAAGGAGGGGTGCAACAACCACCATTCCTTCAGTCACCTGGTGGAGCTGCAGTAGTGGGTCAGATTAAGCCAACACATCTCAGTGCAAACCAGCCTTTACTAAATCAAAATTATCCACCAACAACCAATGCCCGACTGCAATTATCTTCTGAACAACAGCTTGGTTACATGCAACAACCTCCACTTGCCCAATCTGGGAACCAAAATGCTTCTATCCCTGCTTTGCCTGCCCCACTGCCTGGATCAAATGCACAAACACCTAATAGAGCTACCACAAAACCAACTGTATTTGATAGACAAGGTGACACCTTGACTGAGAAAAGTACAACTGAACTTGAGGCTGAAGTAGTCTCTCGAAATATAGGTGGGAAGGAGGCAAATGGCTCGGAGGCCATGCTTTCTGAAACTGCAGATTCAACAGAGGCAAAGATCCAGAAATCTGAAAATGATTTGAAGTCCTTGGTTGATGAGGAGAAGCCAAACCATAATGCTGAAGATAAGAGTAGCAAGCTGGAAGCAACTGTCAAAGAGATAAGTGGCTCCTCCGAGACATTGGAAGCAAAGACCAAGTCCCATGTACCAGAAGATGGGTCAGAGGAGCCTGTAATTAAGGAAATGGTGAAAGAAGATGCTGGAATTTCCATGAAGCCTTCACAAGGTGGTAATGATCCTATGGCTGAAGACAGTGAAGACAAGAAAATTCAGGATGTCTCTGTTCATGAGCAGAAAAGGGAAACTTCAGAGGCACAGGATGTGAAGTTGCAGAAGGATGTTGCAGGTGCTGGTGGGGCACCACACTCTTCAAGCATAGCATCTAATACCAGTATTCAAGGTTCTGGGCAGGCCAGTGGAAATGATAGAAGGATTTTGCAGGCTCCTCAAATGAACAGAGATCCTTTGCTCCGGCCTTCTCTCCAAAATTATGGTCCACATCATGAACAGATGTTATCTCATACTGGTTATCCAGAAAGAAACTTACCCCAGGCCCAGTATCCTAGGCAAGGACCCCATGCAGATGAGTACAGGAACTTGCTTCCACCTAGTCAAATGCAGGGTAAGGGTCTCCTGCAGCCTCATGTAGGTCCAGCTCCTGATCAACAGCTGCCTATGCATTATGGTCCTCCTCACCAGCAAAGGCCTCATGTGCCTGATCATATTCTACAGTCTTCAGTGCCTCCACATCAAATGCAACCTCCAAACCAGATGAGGCCTCAAGGACCAATTGGACATCTACCTCAGCAAGGGCAGCCTCCAAATCCACCAGAACATCTTCAGTCTTCACTGGCAAAGCAGCCTCATGTTACTTTTCATCAAGAAATTCTGCCAAGTGGCTTTTCAGGCCCTGGATCCTCATCCTCATTTGGGAGGGGGCCAGTTAATTTGGGTTCTGCTAGAAATTTTGAATCACAACCTTTTGCAATTCAAGGGCATCATAATCTAGGAAATGTGCCCCCTCCCCTATCTGGTGGCCCAAGAATTCCTCAAGGTGAGCCAGTAAGAGGACCACCATTTGTTGGGCCACCACCTGGGGCATTTGATCCTCAGGGAGGTGTATTTGTTGCAGGAGCACCACATGGTACTGAAAGTCAACCTTACCCTGTTATCCCTATAAATGTTGTTTTTTTCCTTTTTTTTTTCAATTAAGAGGTATGATTATTTTGAAACCTGATTTTTATCTCCTTGATTCTGCAGAGAAGGTACCATTTGGGCAGACTTCTGGAATCCAAAACAATACGGTGAAGATTAATGGTGTGCCGGGAAAGGGATTGCCAGAGGAGAGGTATAAACATATGCCGGAGGAGGGATTCAATCCACTGACAGAGGAATGCTTTAAGCCTTTTGCTATGGAGCCTAGTAGATGCCTTATTGATCGAAGAGAATTTGAAGAGGATCTCAAACAGTTTCCTAGACCCACTCGTCTTGATGCTGAGCCTGTCTCAAAGTTTGAGAATTACTTTTCCTCATCACGGACTCTTGACAGGGGTCCTCATGGTTTTAACATGGATTCTACAACAAAACCTCTTGATAGGGCACCTGGGTTTGGTCTCGATGCTGGATCCAAGTTGGATGGTAGTGCCAGTGGTTCATCTTTGAGACTGTTGCCTCCTTATCAGCCTGGTGGACCATCAATGCATCCTTTGGACGTGGGAGAAAGATCAAGGCCAATTGGTTTTCATGATGACATCATGGGGAGGAAACCAGATCCTGCAGGGTCTAACTCAGATTTTCTTAGACCTGTTTCTGAATTTGGTCGGCATCGTGCTGATGGTTTGTCTCCGAGAAGTCCTGGTAGAGATTATCCTGGCATTCCTACTGGTAGATTTGGGGGGGCATCTCATCTGGATAATATTGAAGAGAGGGAATCACATACATTTGGTGAAAGATCCAATTCCTTCAATCTTCCTCAAGATCCAGTTGGTAGTGCATTTCATGAACGTAGGTTTTTGCCCAGCCATTTGCGGCGGGGTGAACCTGATGGTCCTGGCAACTTGCGTACTGGTGAGCAGATATTGCCTGGGGCCCTGCCTCCCCACTTGAGGGGTGGTGATTTAGTGGGTTCTGATATCCTTCCTAGTCATTTACGGAGCCGTGAGCCTGTTGGACATGGAGCTCTGAGTCATTTGCGCAGCGGAGAACATGTAGGCCCTCGTGGTTTGCCAAGTCATTTGCATATGGGGGAGACAGCTGGTTTTGGTGCCTTGCCTGCACACTTACGAATGGGAGAATTGGCTGGCCCTGGAAATTTACCTTCACGTCTCCGTATTGGTGAAGCAATTGGAGGAGGCAACTTGTCAACTCATTCAAGGCGTGGTGAGCCTGGTTTTGGCAACAATTACTCTATGCAGGGATATCCAAGTGATGGTGGATTTTACCCTGTAAGTATTAGTCTGACAGTATTGTTTATTTTATCATTTCTTTGTGCTGGAACACTACTCACTTCACTTCATCAGTTGTTCGCATGCAATTTTTTCTCATGGTGTGCCCAAACATACTTCACTTGTGGTCATGCCTTGTGGATTTGGGGCATGCACTTTGAATCTGTAAACTTATATTTCTAAATGCTATTTATGTTGGTGTATTCCTTTTTTTTTTTAAATTTTATTTAGATTTTAGATGGATAAAAGAATGCATACTCTGACTAGTGAAAGCAGATAATGTGTGCATAATTTTATTCTTATTAATAGGTTTCTTTCTCGTGCATTTGTATTTATCTCTTCCATTCTTTTCAGGGAGATAAGGAGTTGTTCAATCATTCAAGAAAGAGGAAGCCTGGGAGCATGGGATGGTGTCGCATATGCAAAGTTGACTGTGAAACAGTTGAGGGTCTTGACCTCCATTCACAAACCAGAGAGCACCAAAAGATGGCAATGGACATGGTCTTAAGCATCAAACAGGACAATGCAAAGAAACATAAGCCGTAGGGCATTTTCTCATTCATTTATGGCTTCTATTTTTCCACATCTTAATTCTTTTGTCCTTGTATGAACACGTATTGTTTTTGTTTCCATGTTATTGGCAATCCGTGCAGAGCATCAGATGACAATGCCTCAGTGGATGACACAAGCAAGTCCAGGAAGGCCAGTTTTGAGAGTCGTGGAAGCAAGCATTAGGGCAATATGGACTACTGCAACATGCATTGTTGGCAATGCTAGAGAAGTTTATTGGATGCTGACTGTGATTCATATGTTATTTCATCAGTAATTTTGCGTTGGTTATGGAGACATGTAGGTGATTCACCCTCTTATGTCTGCCTTATACTTTCAGGGTGGTTTATGCTAGTTTTGGTGTTTCAGGTTGTTGCTGTTTAATGAAGATGGTTATTTTTGGAACTGAAGTTTCTGTGGCAAGTTAAGTTGGTCTTGTTTATAGCTGCGACTTCTTTAGCTTTCAATGGAATTGGCTAATATTAATGCTGTATCTTTTTCTTGGTAATGGTACTAAGATGTAGTTTTTATTAGATTTTAATGCCTAGATGCCATTCTTTTACCTTGATAGTTACCTCATGGCTCAGTGCACCACTTTGGCCATATCACCTGGTGATGTCCCTGGCAATAGCGTCATTGTCTCAGTGTCATTGCTATCGGTCTTTTTGTTCAGACACTGTTGAGGGCATTGATCTGTCCACATGTTGCTTGAATCCCTTTAATGAGTCCTTTTAATTTTTGTTTAAATGATTTTTGCAGATATTATAAAATCCTCATTTGTAACCACTTTGGAAAAATGATGATTTTGTTTTGCATTATAATGAATTTCTCATGTTCACTTTCTTCCATGAGAGTGACCAGCTACCATAGGTGTTTGAACCACGTTTGATGTCTCGCCAGTTTGCATTAGTGTCCAATGTCTTCTGATGCTCCGTGTTCGATCTCAGTGCTTACCATATTTCCTGGGGATATCCCTACTCACATAATTTCTATTCTCAATTTCTCATACTCCCATTGTTATTGGCTTTTGGCTTAAAAAACTCCATTCACATTAGTGCCTTAGCTCTGTTGCTTTTGTTTGGTCAGTTTATCCTGCATTTTGGATTGGCCACACCATTTTTGAAGATAGAAAATGTTACATACTTGTTATTTCTTGGGAATGAGAGTTTTTATGATTATGCTCCAATATTCTCATTCTGTTTATTCATATCATTCTGGTACATCACCACACGTGACATTATGTGGTCTTTTACCCTGTGTTCTTTGTGATGTAACGACGTAGTTGCAAATTTGCGAGCTTTTGTTTCCTTATTTAATATATATTACAGTTCGCTTCGTCTTTCTTTCATATAAGTAAATATTCTCAAACATGCTTATGTCTTCAAGAATGTTGGATAAGTATATAAGATATTAGCTAAAAACTCTGGCTTTGTGGTCAATCGTATTCTAGTAATCTATTAAATATTTTTGTACTTTGGCTTCAAAGTTCAAATCATTACCATTACTTTTCAATTTGTCCTATTTACTTTGTTTAGACACTGTTTTTGCTTATTCTTTCCTGTTCAGTGCAAAGGGTTGAACATGGGGCTCTTTTTTCTTTCCTCTTCTGTCATCTTCTGAGCAAAAAGTGGGAATATGCTCTACTGATAAAAAAAGTGTGGAAAGTTGCAAGTTTTCTCCACCCATCTTCACCTTCACTCTCTTGCAAAAAAAAAAAACTGGAAATTTTGCTACAATGATGCAAAAAGTTTTTGCGATATTATGGCCATCTCATTATCCAAACTGGAATTACCCTCCACCCTTGGTGGAAATTTAGGCAGAAATATACAACCCCTACTTCCAGCTTGTGTAGCTAATCATGGCAATGATGGAAAATTTAATTTTGTCCAATACATCATATAAAAGTTGATAATTAAGGTGTCAAATACTTTCATTTAATGTTCAAAAAGACAGCATTTTATAGCTGATAAAAAAAAAGAAAGCATTATATACAACATAAACTTTGATGATCTAGTCTATAAGGGTTTTCTGGGGCAGTATATCGATTGGAGATAACTTTTGGAGAAGCTGATATTTGGTTGTAGTGGAATATGGTAACTATATATTGAAAGGGGGAAGTTCTTTGTATTCAGTTTCTTGTTGCTGTCTCTTCACTTGGTTGGAGAAATTATCCTTGGTTGCTTGCAGTGGTTTTTGAAACTTGTGTGCTATCTTGTGGGCTTAGGGCTCTGGTTCTAAGCGTCACTTGTTGGCCCATTTGAAAATTCAGGAATTATCACATGTTTGCCCTGATGCTAGTAGTACTTCAATAGGCCTGAACTCTTAAAAGATTTAATGCTATTTCAAGAGAGAGAATTTTGTATTAGGTAGCTTGCCATTTTATGTGTAGTTCTATATTTTAGTGCCTCAATTACCACTCTGTAAAAGGATTGTTTAACATGTTCATACTTTAATATGATAGCTTTTTTTTTTGGTTTATTCATAAAAAGTTGAGGGGAAAAAGGTCATTGAAACATCTTTAACTTTTCCTGTTTGAAAAAAAAACATCTTTCACTTTTCTTCTTTTTTTTTTTATGAGATCTACTATACTTTTAATTCATGTTTTTACATTTTGGCACCATTCAATCTCATATAATGTGGACAAAAATAAGTATCTGAAAGGTTGCAGACTTGGACCATTTGTCATAGCCATCATCAAACTTTTAGTGATGTTGACCACCTCCAACCATGAATACTTGGTTGGGAATGGCTGAAAGCTGAATTGGGATATTGGTTTAATTACATCACTCACCTGACAATGAATGAATATGGTGATGCTGCAATAATGAACATGGTAATATCTTGTCAGTTTGCTAATTCAAATACCTGGTCTGGATTGTGTTACAGTTATGAACAAGCTTAAGAAGGTGCAGCATTAGCTGAATAAGATTGATGAACAGTTATTGTTGGGTGCAGCCAATGATCTTAATATGAATGTTAATGACACGAAAGTGTACTTTACCTTCCCAGGGAGGTTGGAGGAGAAGACCAAAGCTGTTGCAAATTGGCCTCAATTCTTAAGTTACAATTATGAAATACTAGTGTTAGATATCCTCTTCCCCCTAAATCGCCTCCCTCCACCAAAAGTATTTTTGTTCTCAAGGTCATGGAAATCACAATTCTTTGTTATCGTGTTAATTGAGCAAAGTGATTCTCTGTTCATAGGCAGGTGCTGTAGATAATTTTCTTCCTGTTCTTTGTAACTCAATAAAGGATTGGATGTGTATCAAGTTTGTCCAGGTCTGGTATTGTTCCCATTGGTAGCAATAATGCAGGAAAAGGGTCCATTTTGTTTTGAATCTGATGAAGATTTTGGGGTTTTAGAAGCTTTAGAGTTAGGATTTGGGAATACCAGGTTCTCTTCTTGGATGATCTTTGACTTGTGGGGGGTTGGGAAAATGGGTCCCTTCGTTATATACATGACTGTAAAGGAACCATTAGTTTAGGTCTTGAAAGTAGATTAATTTTCTTGTGAAGCTTTGTTCGCAATATGTTGGCACTTAAAAACTGCACGTTTCCATCGCTATTTTCTTAAATGTTACAACATATAGGCAACATTTTCTATATAAAATCATCCCACATTCTACCTCTATGGGTTATATACATGACTGTAAAGGAACCATTAGTTTAGGTCTTGAAAGTAGATTATTTTTCTTGTGAAGCTTTGTTCGCAATATGTTGGCACTTAAAAACTGCATGTTTCCGTATAGGTGGAATGTGGGATGATTTTATCTAGAAAATGTTGCCTATATGTTGTAACATTTAAGAAAATAGCAATGGTGAAACATACCGAAGCCTAGTTACAAAAAAATAGCAGAGCCTAAATTAGATGTTGTAGTCATGAAAGACATAGTGATTGATAGAGTCATGGTGCTTTGCTTTTTTTGCACTTAGTTGTGATGCTGATAGGACAGTACACTCATATTCATAATTAGTTGTTTTTTTGTGAATGGATAGTCTAATGGGTAAAATCTAATCGCTTTTTTTAATCATTAAACATCAGTAATATTAAGGGATTGCAATACAAAGAGTAAACTAGAACCAATATTGAGAGGTTGCAACACAAACGGTAAACTAGAATAAAAGGCAAAAGACATATGGCAAAGCTGGCCTAATACATGATTATATACAATCCAGTGAATTATCTGGATCGCCCTAGACTCCCCCACCAAATTCTGTATCACCACACTGCCTCTTGAAGGAATTAGCTAGAGAATCCAATTTATCCAATCCTGAATAAGCGAAAAAGAACATCTTTCATCCAATCCGAGGGTCCAAATCATCTCATATTGTTCATCCAATCAATAACTACATGATATTAGTCTCCTTTTATCACAAGTTTATTCCTATCTGAAAAGAATAGACCAGTTTAAGCCCATGTAAAAGGGCAAGCTGCTCAGTTCTGAGGGAGTTTTCCTACATGGATAGCTGTAAAGAAATTCAAGATGTTGCCTTTCTGGTTCTTGAAGAATCCTTCTCCAGAAGATCTGGGATTGCCTATTGAGTAGCCATTACAGTTAAATTTTATCTCACCTCCTGACCTCCTAGACCAGAGCAATCTGGTCCTAGCTCGAGATCTGTATATTTTGGCCAAAACCTGCAACTGCTTGCTAGTCTCTCAATATGGATTTTTATACAGCAGAAATCTGGTTCAGTACATCTGCTCATGTACTCCTTGTTCTATTTAATGAAATCTTGTTAACTTTTTCTAAAAAATATGGAGTTTTATAAGAACTACTTGAACTCTTTCCTAGTACCAATTAAATCATTACTAGCTTGAACTTCCATGCCATAATTCAATATTCTAGAATTCCTTTTGTTTTACAATCCAAATGAACTACTGTTTGAGTGCATTGTGTGTATCCCATATGAGATTTTTCATCTTATGAGAGACACACATAAACTATCCACAATATCAGCAAGTGGTTACCGTGAAACATCAGAAAGAGTGGTTCACCAAGAACCAATCAAGTAATGGCTAAGGCTGCCATATTCTTCAATTTACAACTATCTTACCATAGAAGTTGATTTGCCAAGTGGTATTGTCTTGGTTCGTCTTGACGATTTCAGCCTTTGGATTCTTGGGAATATGTAGGAGAGGCAAAGACAGTGGCAACAAGCACAAACTTTTTGCTCAATTGGACCCTTAGCTCTTACTGACAATGTTGATTCACTTGTAAGGGAAGGTGTTGTGAGAATTGGATTAGTTTGAGGTGTTCCGGGACAGTGGATTTGTAGGTCACTGGAAACATGTACATTGGCTGCCAAGCGTGAGCTGTCTTTTGTAAACTGTCTTTTCTAACCTTACTTTTGGAGGGAAGTTTTTACCTTGGTATGAATAAAATCATAGGCTTTTTTTATTGGTAAACAATAGGAGCATGAGAGGAGTATGTGAATTATGCTTTCTCCAAGACATACGATGCATGCATGTAGTGTGAGAGAAACTAAGTTTTTTGCATACATTAGAGCTTCTCATTGGTATTGATAATTTTCA